CTTCATGCCGGCGAAGGGGTTGTCTCCTCAGTGTCCGGCGGATCCCTGGAGGGGGAGGGGGAAAGGGAGGGGGAGGAGGAGGAGGAGGAGGAGGAGGAGGAGGAGGAGGAGAAGGAGGAGGAAGAGCAGGAGGAGGAGGAACAAAAATGATGAGGAGAAGGAGGAAGAGGAGGAGGAGGAGGAGGAGGAGAACAAGAAGGAGGGGGAGGAGAAAAAGGAGGAGGAGCAGAAGGAAGAGCAGGAGGAGGAGGAGAAGAAGAAGGAGCATGAACATGAGCATGACCATATGACTAAGTCAATCAATCCACCACATCGCTTAAACCCTACGATTACCCCTGGTGGACTTCTCGGCTTTGCTCGGGACCTTTGGCCACGAGCCCTGGGAGACTAGCCTCAAATACTCGGCCCTGCTGGGAGTGGGAGGTGTCACGCACTCACGTCCCAGGGCCAGGAGTTGCAGGGACCCATAGCTACCGCAACTGACACAACACCACAACTTCAAATCACCATGAAATTGTATTCTGTGGCTGGGGGTGACATACCCACCAGCAATGTGCAATCTAGCACCATCGGGCTTCCGAAGATTGGCACCATTATAATTGACAGGGTGGAAGCACTGGGTCCTGAGCCAGGCTGTCCGCGTCGCCTTCGACGCCGAGCTACCGCACCTGGTGCATCTACACCCACTCCCGTCCACTGAATGAGACGAAGCAGGAAGGGCGAGAGAGGCAGTAGCAGGGGGCGGGGGGGGCGGGGAGGGCAGGACCCTGTTCCTCCGCAGCACCCCCATCCTGATCTTCAGCAGCCATGGAATCAAGGGTAGCCCGTATAATACGCATCCTGACGAGACGGGCCACACTCTCGCGCAACAAAACTTGCTGGCGGACTGCCTCTGGGAGACGGACTTCGCTGGCCGCCTGCCCAGCGATCTCATCGACAATCAGGTTGCCTGCCACCATCCACCGCGGGGTCCTGCCCTTTCCACGATGTCGGTGGCAGACAGGTGAGAGCTCACAAAGAGGACTGTGATGGCATCGTACGACTTTTTTCTCAACAGGAGTCCCAGGCGTGCCCACAGGTCAGCGTCCTCGCCTGTGGGCTCTCCATAATTGCGGCAATAAAAACCTGACACTACTGATTCGCCGTCTGAAACGAACGCCATGGACCCAGTGGTCCTCCACACGGCTGAAAGCAAAGCCCGCAGTTCACCTCGGGCAACAATCTGTCTGGGCCCCGACAGAGGGGCCTCGCGCAATCGAGGCAAGCTGCAGCTCAGGCTCAAGAGCACGCATGCAAACAACTCCAACGCCAACGCGTCGGAAGAGCGGGCTGCTGGTGCCAGGCCCCCCGCTCGCGTCGCTCAAGGCAAAAAGAGGGGCCTGCCCCGAGCCGCCTGCGACGCAGCCCTCGGCGATCAGCTCCCCGTCCAGCTCCTCCGCGCCGACCCAAGCGTCGATATCGCAGGGGGCTGGCCCTGCCGTCCAAGGAGCTGGCATGAGTCCTCTGAGCCAGAAGCCCTGGTCGGCTTCGCCCTGGGCAATCGCCTGCGGGATCTGGTCATTCGACTCCTCGCACGCGCTACTTCCTTCATTACATTCACAAGCATATATGCGGTGCATCATACACCCTGGTGCCTTCCGACACCCAGGGCACCCCACGCCTCCCGTGCATCTGCACAACTCATCCTTCTTGCGCCGTCGGGGCCAACACCCCCCAACAGCACATGCGAGCAGGACCTCTGACAGCCTGTGCCCATGCGCAGGGACGGCCGCCGGCTGCTGCAGCAGGATCTGGCACGAGGTCCAATCGACGCCCCGCTCCAAACCCGCGCCACAGAAATGCCGGCTGGCCCTCTCCCACAGGGCGTGCCTCAGCGTCTGCTTGAAATCCGCCATGAAACCCTGGTGCGAGTCCAGCGCTGCGAGCCCTGTGCACATGCCGCCGCCATACTTCCACATGCCCCCCGCGGCAGGGTGACTGGCGGGGAGGCCCCGCGACGTAGCCTGCTGCGGGCCCCAGCCTGCCTCCAACAGGCGCAGGACAGTGGCAGCGAGGGCCCCCCGCACATGACGTACACGTTGCGCCGCCGGGGGCTCCTGCATGTGCATGTACACCCTGCCCCACGCCTGCCGCGCCCCTGGTCGCAGCTCTCCCCCAGGTGCGTAGCCACAGGTCGAGCGTCTCAATTGGCAGCTTGATCGCGGGATACATGTCCCCCGCCCTCAGCGCTAGCAGCGTGGTCAGGCACCGCCCGCGCGTGGGCGCGGCCAGCGCCTGGCCCAAGCGGCGACGAGCCTGGGTCATCCTGGCCCCGAAAGTGCCATAGGCCTGATGCCCATACACCCCCGCCGCCTGGGCCACCTGCTTCTCGAGCCCCCCATGTGGCGCGGCACTTCTTCGACACAAACGCATGCCTCCGCACTTTGCCGCTCATGGGTTTATGTTTCGCATCCCCCTCGACTCTGTTCTCACGCGACATCCCCCCCCCCCCCCCCAGGTCGACCCCGAGGTGGGCTGCCTACTTGGCTGGCTGAATTGAGCAACCAGAAAGCCGCGCGCGCTTCGCCACCCACCTGGCACCCTGGAGCGCGAAACACACGACAACTGACTGAGGTGCAACTCGTAACTGCTTAGCCCTCAACTCCTCACATGCGCCAATCACGCACGCAGTCAAGTCCTCCCTCACAGCGGCTCGCGACCCTCGGGCAGACTGGGACAGGTCGTCAATCCAGGTGCGTTGCCCAATCCGCGGATGTGCAACCGCGATGGCCGCCAGCACGTAGTGGGCCATCGCCATGGCGAAGCGCGCCCCCGCCCGCAGGGCGCCAAGCTGGCCCAGCGCCCTAGCCGCCACGCATTGCAACAGCTCGAGGTACAAGACCTGCGGCGGGAACTCCAGCGCCAGCGCGCAGGAGGCGCGCGTCGGCCACTCGACGGCGTCGTAGAATGACTGGATGTCGACAAGAGCCCCCCCCCCCCCCCCCCGCGTGGCAACTCCGAGTTGATAGGGGCACCTCCTGCTGCAGCACGCGGCTGAAGGCCTCGCGAAGGCTGGAGCCCCCCCGCACCGCGGCGCCCCAGCGCCCCTCGGCTGCCGAGGACCAGCTACGCACATGAGGTTGGCGAATGAGGCTCCACAACCTCCCCGACATCGACACCAGGCAGACGATTCGATTCCCATTCGATGTATTTTTGGCAACATGCGTCCTATAATCAACAGCACTTGGCCAGGCCACACAAGATGACACTCACACGCCTGAAACAACAACGCCACTTCGGCCAACGCCTCGTCTGAGAGGCGCTCGAAGCCGAGCGGGCTGAGCACGTCGACTCCGAGGCCCGCCCGCCCCTTTCATCTTGCGAAGGGCCGACCGCATCTCTTCGACAGAAATGGCAGGCAACGACTCGCCATCAGCAGCGGCTTGAATCTGGGCGAAGGTCCGGGAGACTTCGCAGTCGTCCAAAGCGGCTGGTGCCCACGAATCGCGCCATGTCCTCGTTTCGTGGTCAATAATATCACGTGGGCGAAAGAGAACACCATCTCCGTGATCAATATCGAGACATGGCAAACTCTGTGGATTGAAAGCCCCATGTAGAGTTCCAATAGCCCCATCCTCCACCATGAAGTCCTTAAAGTCATTGCTACTATCCTGCACTGCCCTGCGCTGCGCCCCCCCCCCCCCCCCCCCCCCCCCCACCCCCACCCACCCCACCCCACCCCCGCCCACCCACCCACCCACCCACCCACCCACCACCCACCCCCCCACCCCACCCACCCACCCACCCACCCACCACCCACCCACCCACCCACCCACCCACACACACACACACACACACACAACACACACACACCACACCACACCACCCCACCCACCCCACCCCACCCCCCACCCCACCCCACCCCACCCCACCACCCCACCCTCCCCACGCATGATCCTCTTGGCGCTGGCCTCGAATTTCACGAGCACTGGTGCGACCACCTCGCCCGCGCCGCTGAAAACACGCCCCCACTCCGACCGCGGGGGGGCACGACCTTCGATGAGCACGCGCTGTACATGATCAGGCCGATCGGCAGGGTGCCGCGCGCACCCCGTCACATAGCGCTCGACCTGCAGAGCGCCGCTGCCCCTCGCCATTCGCAGCACGAGTCCCCCGAGCAGAGCGTTGAGCTGGGCCCACCAACCACTGATCTGATCCCGAAGGGGTGTCGCACGAACTTTCTGCAGCACCTTTACTGTGGCGACGGTGACCCAGGGCCCCATCGGCCCGCGATGGCCCACGAAGCAAGTCCACCCCATGATGAGAAGTGATTGCGGGTTCGACAACCTACCCAAGTGGCGCAAAGACCCGATATAGTCTCAAGCTGAACTGGCTTGAGCCGAGCGGCTACGCACTGACGCAAAGAAGGAGCAAGGGACTGAAGAGCGGCCGCTCCAGAGACAAGCCCTAGATCACGCCCACACCTAGCCCACAAATCGGACGGGATGGCGAAAGACGGGGCCCCTCCAGAGCTTTCCCCCTCCAGCCCAAGCCCCACAGGGCCTCCAGCCCCAGAGGGATCCAGGGTCTGCGGCTGAGGATGGCCAGCAGCAGGAGCAGGAGCTCTCGGTGGCCCCACCCCAGACTGCCAGGCCACTTCAGGCACGTCCCTGGAGCCCTCGTGAGACCTGTTAGGGGGCCCTGGCTGAAGTGTCGGCTGCGGCGCTCCTGGCCCAGACGCAGCGAGAGTGGGGAGGAGAGAGGAGCCGGGACAAAACGACAGCTCATCAGCCCACGGATCTTCTTCCTCGGGCCACTCATCAACACTGGAAGGCTCAATGCCAAGCACCCCAATCCCAGAGGCCGAAGGATCTTGTTCCCCGGGCCCACCGCCCTCGGGATTCGCAACAGATTGCTCAGACCGACAGCAATCCTCAAACAAGGCAGAGAACTTGGCAGCCCGCTTTTCGACTGCGAGCTGGCGCTGTACATTACGCGTAGCTTTTGCAAGACTAGACTTACACCCCGCGGTGGCCTCCTTACATGG